CACACACACACACACACACACACACACACACACACACACGACAAGGAGGCTCAGTGGCTAAGATGCTGAGCTTGTCGGTCAGAAAGGTCAGCAGTTCAGCAGTTTGAATCCCTAGCACTGCATAATAGAGTGAGCTCCCATTACTTGTCCCAGCTTCTGCCAACCTAGCAGTTCCAAAGCATGTAAAAATGCCAAGTAGAAAAAGAGAGATCACCTCTGGTGAGAAGATAACAGCTCTCCATGCGCCTCTGGCGTTTAGTCATGCCGGCCACATGACCACAGAGACGTCTTCGGACAGCGCTGGCTCTTCGGCTTTGAAACGGAGATGAGCAATGCCCCCTAGAGTCAGGAACTACTAGCACATACGTGTGAGGGGAACCTTTACCTTTACCTTTGACCTACCTGGAACTGCTTCCTGTCCAGATGTGAGGGACTAGAATTATTGTGATTCCCAACTATCACAGCTTTGAATTGAAGGAGACATAAAAAGACAAATATGGTGATCGCCATCTTAAGAAAAATTAGTGTACGTGATTGTTTAGCTCAGGGGTGGCAAACTCAACACACACGGGTCAGATCTGACCCATGGGTTGCTTAAATCTGGCCTGCGGGGGTGACCTGGAAACAGTGAAGGACCGGCCCACGATGCCTCTGCCAGCCAAAACAGAGCTCCATTTTGGCTGGCAGGGGGTTGCAGGAGGCCACCACAGGTGCCCCCAACACGAATGAGGTTGAGCTAGCCACACCTACCCTGGCCATGCCCCCCCTGGCACCCTGAGGTCAAACACTACCCTGATGTGGCCCTCAGTGAAAATGAGTTTGACAATGGTACAACCTTTCCTGATGCTGGTGGTTAATGCCAGGCAGGTTGGAGGGAGGAGTCAAATGAGGGCCTAGCTTGGAGTCCTTGAGCAGCTGCAAGCACATAAGCTTGGCCTCCAACAAGATCCACAAAGCCTTCTTGGCTATTCCCACAGAACCTCTAGTGAGGTTCTTGTGACATAGGAGGTAGGTGATAAAGTTATGACTTTCATTATTCATTAGTCACTCCGGTTGGTTACACCTGACAGCTGGTAGTCTCTGTCCCTTTCCACCACTACCAGAGTTTCATTTCTCTCAAACTGTCATCTCTCTTAGTAAAACGAAAGCTCTTTTACTTGAAATTCTTCTCAGGATGATGTGTTCTAGACCTCCATTTATCAAGCTCAGAATACTGAATTGGTATGTGGATGTGAGAATTGTATGCTTCATGAGGTATCCTCCAAATACAGATATGAATGTAAGAGTTTGCAGGGCCTTTATATGCCTAATAAAATCCTAACTACAGGTAATCTTCGACTTACGAACACCATTGAGCCCAAAATTTGTTAAGTGAGAAATTTGCTAAGTGAGTTTTGCCCCATTTTACGACTTTTCTTGCCACACATGTTAAGTGAATCTCTGCAACGATGAAGTTAGTAACACTGTTGTTAGGGGAATTTGGTTTCTCTATTCTCTTTGCTGGTCAGAAAGCTTCAAAAGGGGGATCAAATCACCCCGGGGATACTGCCTTAGTCAGAAATATGA